CCCCACAGAGCTGGACCGTCCCGGGTTCAGCTGTGCTTGCTGTGAAACTCTCAATCCAAAGAGTTTCTGATTGCTATTCTTCTGTGGGGGTGGCACCAGCCGAGCCTGATCACCTGGCTCCCTGCCTCAGAGCCTTTTGCTCTCCAGTTGAACGGTCAACTCTCTCCCAGGTGTTCCAGTCGCCTGTTGAAAAGGCGCAGGGGTCTATGTGATTTCCCCTGCGGCGACTGAAACAGCGGCGCTGAGATTTGTGGAGCCTTTTTTTTGTTTGTTTGTTTTTGCCCGGGAATCTCCTAGCCTGGCTCCCTGCCTCAGACCCCCCTTTAGTCAGATGAATGGGTGACTGCGCCTTCCCAGCGCTTCAATTGCCAGCCAAAAGGGCACCCAGATCAGTGTATTTTGTATGGAGAACTGCCATGCCAGGGCGCCGCAAAGCAGCTGTGTGGGCCAAAACAGCCGAGGGGACTGAAACAGCCGCGTCGGCCAAAACAGTCGCACTGGCGACCTGTGGGGCTCCTCCACCTGGGAATCTCCTGGTCTGTGGGCAATAAAAATCCGTCTGGAAATTCGGCGTCCACTCACCCTCCATGCTTTCACTGGGAGCTGCAATCCTGAGCTGTTCCTAAACGGCCATCTTGGATCCGGATCCCTATTTTTATTATTTTTTAAATAGAGACAGGGTCTTGCTAAGTTGCCCAGGCTGGTCTTGATCTCCTGGTTGCAAGCAATCCTCCTGCCTCAGCCTCCCTAAGTGCTGGGATTACAGGCATGAGCCACTGCACCTGGCCCAGTCTACAAGTTTTACATTTTCCATTTTTCAGTTGTTTTCTCCATTAGAACACCAGTTCCATGAGGGCAAGAAACATGCTTGTCCTGTTCACGGTTGTGCTCCTAACACCTATCAGTGTGTAACAGGGGCAGGTGCAGATTCACCTGCCCTGCCTGAGAAGATGGCCCTATTCCTCCAACTCTCATTTAACAGAAAATTTTCTGAAAAACAAAGGGGGATCTGTAAGAGTAATTTTTTGAATGTTAATGTTGCCTTTTTTCCTACTCTAGGAAGTGACATTTACTATTATGCTAAATATTCTTTCCTGGGGGTGTTCAAGTGTTTCACAATTTTCTTACTCCTATAAATGCAGCATATGTAGGCCTCACCTCTCTAAGACCAAGGGCTCCAAGCTCATTAATGGATAGACTCAACTGAGTTTAACTCCCACAGGAATCCCCAGATACTGCTTTTGCCAAAGAGTCATTTCCAAGACAAGTCTTAAATGTTCAGAGACAGAAAACACACACCCTCACACACACTTAAAGCCTTGCAGTAATTAATGATACAATCCATAAGGAACCCCCTCCAACCATCCTGCAATGTGCAGCTGAAGTCACAAGACTCAAGCTGAAATAGGACTCTATCCTAGTATTTGCAGGCCTCAGGTCCCATTTGTCAGTGACAGCAGTTGGTTAATGTTTTCAGAGTTAGGATTCTGGAACGTTTTGATGAATAATAAACAAGGTATAGGAAGGGACATACTTTTATTAATATATATATATGTATTGTTACTTGGTTCTTTTTGATTCTGAGATGTTAATATCATTAAAGCAGTTACTGATTCACTGAGACTGAAATTAACTGACATCCCTAAGCCTCCATCAGGGGTGGGGAGGAGGAAGACAGACGCGGGTTGGTGTTTGGATGTGGGCCAGTTTAAAATGAGCCGTCATCACACGGAAACTGGACATGCTGATGGGTGACTGCTAAGGGCACTGGAAGTCTTTCCAGCAATGATGAGCAGGGATTCTGAAAAAAGCCATTAACTTTTTGATAGTTCTGACATTTCTGTAAGCTAAGTAATCATAATACCACCTCTGTGGGATGACTTAAAATTTACAGACATGTGATCTCACTGAGTCCATTCTCCCACTCTCTTGGAGACACTATGAGGTAAGAGAAACACCACTTTGAGATGATACTGGAGCAGCTGGGGAAACTCTACCAGGGGTGATGGATGACCGGGGGTTGGCTGGGCCACTCGACCTCCCCCTCACTGTGGGCTTTTGTGATTAATTCACCTACTTGCTTAGGAAGTTGTTTTCCATCTGAGAAAATTAAAAACACCACTCTCTGGACAGGAATGTGGGATCATAAATGAGAAGCAAATAGAAAGGATTTACACAAAAGCACAAGGTCAGCAAAAGAGAACACTCAGAAATTGCTAATATGGTATAAATCAAATAAAGGCTATTAGCAAACCCCTGGTAAGGGGGGAAAAAAAGCCTTTTAAATGATTTGCTGAGCTCTTAACAATGCCATTTCTACCTATGGTGCTCGAATATCTCCGGGTCAATCTGGCTTGCATTCTTCAGCACTGCCACAAAGACTTTCCAACTGAAATGGATTTGTATAAAACTTTACAGAGTGCCAGAAATGTAGCTTGCTATTGTGCCTTCAGATTTATATAATTTTTAGAGCTGTAGAGTCTTCCTCATCCATGTATTCCTTCCCACAAGCACAGGGGTCAAAAATATTTGTGTATTATGTGAACAAGTAAGTGGGTGAATAGACAGATGGAAAGAAGGAGAGAAAGGAAAAAGGAAGGGTGGAAGGGTGGATGCATAGATGGTTGGATAGATGGTTGGATGGATGGTTGGATGGATGGATGGATGGTTGGAGGGATGGATGGATAGATGGATGGTTGGATGGATGGATGAAGACCGACTCACTCATCTTACCAATGAGGAATGTAAGAGCCATGGGGTTACTAATCTGCCTATATTATTCTTAAAAATGGTGTTTGAATTGGGACAACCAGATCTCTTCAAGTCCAGCGTTCCCGATCTAGGCTTTCCTCTCTTCCATTGGTTTATCATTAATTCTAAAACATTAACAATATTAACAATATGATCTTAGTCATAAGGAACCATTTATGGAGGCCCATAGGCTAATGTATTTGTGCTCATTTGATGATCTGGGAAATCAGACACAGAGTGCATTTTCTATGGCTATTGTATGAGTTCACCAAGAGACAGAAAACACGAAGACCACTCAGCTGCATGTCCTGCCAAATCCCTCTCTGAAAGTCACTCAGCATGTGGCCCAGCATCACTACTGGGGCTTGTGAAATGTTGGAAATAGAAGGCACCTACAGGACCTTGGCCCAACTTTATACGCTAAGAAGGAAATCCTTGCCCCAAATGTCTGGCAAACAATTATTGTGCCTCTGCTCAGACACCTTTAGTGACTATGGACATATTACTTTTTAGGATGGCCTCCCTTGTGGAGAGGCACACTGGTTAGTTTCTTGAGTTTTGCAGTATTTCATTTCCTATTGGTTGGTGTTGGTCTAAGATACTTTCACTTTGTGTACAGATCCTTGGTTTCTGTCATTACACACTCACAGAGCAACTTCCTCAACAAAGTCTTGGTGACTGCCTTGAATTATGCTTAAGAGGCTGGGTGCAGTGGTTCATGCCTGTATTCCCAGCACTCTGGGGGGCCAAGGCGGGTGGATCATGAGGTCAGGAATTCAAGACCAGCCTGATCAATGTGGTGAAACCCTGTCTCTACTAAATATACAAAAATTAGCCAGGCATGGTGGTGCACACCTCTAGTCCCAGCTACTTGGGAAGCTGAGGCAGGAGAATCACTTGAACCCTGGAGGCGGAGGTTGCAGTGAGCCAAGATCACGCCACTGCACTCCAGCCTGGGTGACAGAGCAAGATTCCATTTCAAAAAAAACCAATTATGCTTAAGAGAGAACCACAAGCAGAAAGATGCCCCTAAAGGCTCTGCTCAAATGGTGGTGATGGATATAAAGAATCAGTCACTTGCTGTAAGAAGATACCTCCCGACGGCTCACATGAAATGACAATATCCTGATGAGCTGTGTGGTTCTGCCAGTCCCTGTTTTAAGGGCAACTCATTGCCCTACAAACTGTTTCCCAGGAGGCCCAGAAAGCTATTGCTTAAAAAAGTGCAGACACATTATTTAACAATTCTTCCCTCGACTGGGTCTTTTAAACTGCATTACCGCATTAGCAGGTATCCCCTCACACCACACTTGTCCCTTGGCCAGCAAGTCTTCACAGAGACGAGGTTTTGGGCTGTTTAGAGCACTTTCCTCTTGCCCCAGTGTCTCCTTTTGGGAAACCCAGAGAGCAAGCGTGGCTGGAATGTTCCATGAAAGTGTTTATAAAGTTTCAAGGTATAATAAAGAAGAAAGCATTGTGCCCAGCACATGTTTCCCCTTACTAATGAGAATCTTCTTAAACTAGCACAAAGTTCTAGGTAAGCCCTTTAGAGATGTAAGAACACATTTGAATCTCTGATCATTCCATGTTGCATCTGCTTCCACATCAGTGGAACACTCCAAATAATGAAACTTTCTTGCTCTTTTCTGGTTGAACCAAGTCTGGAGTCTCAGGAAAGCATTAAATAAGGAAGAGCAACATAATTTACCAAAGCAGAGAAATCATTTCATTTAAGCCTCTAAGATCTGGTTAAGGTGACGTGATGTCAGAGGCAGAGACACTACAAACCTCCAAGTTACTAACACACTTCAGAAACACCCTCGGGCCAACCCCAGGGAAATAAATACCTTCTACCCAGCACCTTCTAAAGACATGTGGCCCATCTCACCTCTGCCCAGGCTTTCAGATGACTGGTTCCTGGGACTCCCTGGCAGCTGGAGCCATAGGCTCAAATAAAAAACACTTGCCAGGACAGGAAGATAATTTGCAATGTCTAAACACAGACAGCATCCATCCCAACCACTCCTCAAGGAAAAGGTCAACCGTCACACCACGTAGCATTGCCGTCTGGCTGTCCATGGCTCTCCAGAGTAACACAGGCCACTCTTGCTACTTGGGAAGGAATTCCTTTTTGGAAACTTCCCTGGGTGCTCTGACCAGAAAACCAGGGAAACTTTGACTCATCTGGTTCCCAACACACACTTCAAGCTGTACACACTCTCAAAGCGGATGGAAGCGATGGTACTTGCCCGGTGGAAGGGTTCATGATGCAGCCTCCTTTCTTAGCCGCTGCTTGACAGCTACAGCCCCTTTCCAGTGTGTCATGATTCATCCCGAAATTGTGGCCCAGCTCGTGTGCCAGGGTTACGGCTGCACCAAGGGGACTGTCTGAATGGTCCTCAAAGAAAACACAAAAGCACAGGTGTATAATTCCTATCTTCTTGTCCTTATGTCCCAGGCCTCCCTTCCCACAGACATATACCTTTCATTAACACTTGACTTAATCTAATTCCCTATAAGGGACTAAGGTAAAATGCTATCATTTAAACTTAAAGATAGATAATTTGACATTTCGTTGAGCCAATTTGGGGGCCCTTTCTGCTGAGGAATGTCTGTATGCCTCACGTATACATGTGTGATTCTGTTTTTATAGGACATCTTCAAGGCAGGGTGTCCATCCTGCTTCCTACAATTGCTCCACAACTCTTCCATTGAATGAAGCAAAAAGGCATCCTGCATCCTAGGAAAAGCTCATTCCTTCATGGGCAACAGAAGTATCATTTTACCCTCGATTGAGATGATGCTGACATGAAGTTGAAAGGCACAAGCATGCGTTGTGACATTCCAAATGAGCCCTGAGAGGCTGTCATTGAGCCTGCCTCTTCCCGTGTGCTTGGTCGGGGAGGAGAGTTGGAAAATTCACAACACTTCACAATAAATCTGACCACATCGAGTCATCTGTTTGAAGAGCCATTCATTTAAAAGCATAATCCGGTTATGTCTTATTCTTGCTGGCTCTTTGTGTTGCCAGGCACACTTTGGAAATATGAGGTGTCCCGATTCTCTGACTCTTGTGGTTGGGGGTTCATTAACCTTTTGCTTGAATGTGGAAGGCGGCTTCTCCATTCACCAAGCACTGCTTGGCTACCCCTAACTTAGTGGAGTGCCTGGATGGCTTGGCTCAAATACATACTAGAAATTAACTAAGAATATAGTTACTTAACTTTTACAAACAGAAGTTAGTTAATTAGCGTACATGATCTACAGAAAGAGTGCCTATATACAGCATTTCTGAAAAGGTCTATATCCCATGGAGAAAGGAAAGAACCTTGCTTGAATCTTGCTTTGTGCTACTTAGGAAAGAGATAAGAGGTTTTCCTAGAGGCTTCCAAGAAACAGTGCTTCTACTGTTTGAATGCTTGTTCCCTCCAAAACGCATGCTGAAACTTAATCCCCAGTATGGCAGTATTGGACATGGGGCCTCTAAGAAGTGATTAGTCAGGAGGACCCTGCCCTTATATTAACCCATTCACAGATTAATGGACTAATAGGTAACACATTAATGGGTTATCAGGAGAGTAGGACCAGTGGCTTTACAAGAAGGAGAGAGACCTGAGCTAGCACGTGCAGCCCCTCGCCATGTGATGCCCCGCACTGCCTTGGGACTCTGCAGAGAGTCCTCACCTGCAGGAAGGCCCTCTCAGGTGTGTCCCTCTACGCTGAACTTCTCAGCCTCTGTAACTGTAAGAGATAAATTCCCTTTCTTTATAAATTACCCAATTTCAAGTATTCTGTTAGAAGCAACAGAAAATGGACTAAAACAAGTATGGTGCTGTATTTCAGAGAGCGCACTGATATGGACAGTCTGTGTGAGGCTTCTGGAGAGAAGTGTGCGTGTGAAAGGCCTATGGGTTTGTTGACAGTGGTTACAACTAGCCTTCAGTCTAAGAAAACAATGGCATGTCAAGAAACCAAGATTTTATTGGAGTAGATGAAATTCCTAATGAATTACTTTGTTTAGATTTTAGAGTTTCCTGTTGTAGGAAGCCTTACAAATATGTTTCAGGAAATCGGTTCTCAAAAATAACACACCGGTGAAGAGAATGTAGTCGGTCTAAGGACATGCGGCCTGAAGTTAGCAGGCTCTGGCACAAAATTCAAGGACTTCATCCTTAAAAAATATCCTCACTCTGATTCTTTTGTATCATTGAATATCTTGGTTTTTAGTTGCCAGATTATGTTACATTCTTTCATGCATCAGTGATTATAAACAGAATGTCTCTTAAGAGACCTTAATAAACAGTTTATATTTGTAGTAAGAAAAAAAAATCTCTTTATTCATGCTATTAATATTATTTCCAAACTAAGGCTGTTTTAGGCCAGTTCGATGTAAAGGAATGACTTTAAGTTACTAAAATTAATGAATGGCTCTATTTTGAAAAATAGAGAAATGGCACTACAATCCCATTTTCAATTTTATGAGGATCCCTGCTGTCTGGCTGCATTGCTTCCTTCCTCTTAGATTTGTGAGTCCTTGAATGAAGCACAGTCACATATGACACCTGTGAATGTAGCTTTAGAGACGCAGGAGAAGAAAGTGAGTCTAGAACTTACAGGTCTGGTCAAGATGTTGACCTTGCTGATTTCATGAATTTTATGGAAATCAAAGGTGCCGAGGCACTTTTATCCTACCTGCTGTTTCTCTTATATGTGGAACGCGTAAGTAATGTGTCTCAGTATGATGTTAACTGCTGTCAAATTTCTAAAACGTATTTCCTGATAATTAACTTTGATCTTCACTTGATTCTTACAGCATTGCATATAATTTGCTTCTATTTCCCACTTTCGTTTTCATACATCCTTTTTAAAAATAGGCTTCTCGGTATCCTTTTGAAGAAGGAATTTTGATAAAATGCTTGTAGGGAAACGGAGTAAGGGACATAACCTGAAGAAGGCCACTTACTCTAGTGAGACGGGTTACAGGCACATTTCAGCTCCGCACAGCAGCAGAGCTTCCCATGCCTATGAAGAATTGAGTTTCAGCTCTACAAAAATATTTATGCCAACTTTAAGTGGCAAAGTCAGTAGCAACTGGCCATGGAACCATGAAACAGAAAATCATTCCGTCTTAAAAATTTACAGTCTGCTCTGTAAAAATACAGTTGGGATCTGACCTGAAATGAACCTGGCATCAACAAAAACCAAACTTGCCAAGGACTGCCATGGTGGAGATCACATGCAGGGCATCCAGGTCCACAGAAAACAAGGGAGTCACTTGCTCAAGCCAGAAATCTAGTAAGTGGGGGCAATCCATTTGACCTTAGTACAGGCTTACATGAATTACCAATCTGTGCACCCAGAGAAGAGGGAAACATTGGTTCTGTAAATTCATGAAGAAGATTTGATTAGGCAGTATGTGGAGAGAAAGTAATCGTCAGCAGAACATAACTCCTTCCACCCTGTAATACAACTGAACATGCACACACGCTCTGTTTAAAAAACGTGGAGGAACTCACAGTTTCTTGGGAGGGCAGGGTTCTGTTTGTTTAATGGAAATGGAAGAATGGTCTCTGAGGATACTCCCTGTCTGAGGTCTGGTGCACAGGAGACACTAAATTTTCAGAGCAGGGACAGCATAGGGTGAAAACCTCTCCTTTAATTATCGGATGAAGTGGCACACAAGCTCCCTGTTGGGCAAGCCTATCAAAGCTACCTCCCTCCTCCATTCATAACAAGCCCCTAACAGTCTTCCCATTTTAATTCCTTTCACAAACATATATAGCCCATATATGACAAAATGATCCTCGTAAAGCAATAAACCTGGGTTTCTGACTTCCAAGAATAAGGTTATTTTAAAGACAAATTGTACACTGGCCAGAAGGTATGTAAAGCATTTGCAGTGGTAAAAAGCTAAAAACCTCAGACTTTGGGCCTTTGGGCTTGGAGACAGAACCATCAGAAAACCATTCAAATGAGAACGTCTGGTGAGACCGCAGGGCGTCCCAGCAGCTGCATGACCAGGGTGACCCCAATGCCCTGGCTCACCCCAGTGCTGGGAGGAATTCCTGGTTTGGAAAGTCCCAGTTGAAAATGTTTCTCCAAAAGAGAGGTAGCCTTGCCTTTGCTGAGCTATTTTACACGCCCGCATTTCCTGTGTGCAATTTGCCTTTAAACAGTCCCTAAAATACTGTGGGATATAAAAAATTCTAAATACAGCTACAGTAAAAATAGAGTTAAATCTAAAAAGCATTAAAGGAAAGGATCTATCTTCACAAAGTCTGATCAAAGTAGTGACTTCCTGGGGAATCATTACTAAGGGGAACCAGCTCCTGATGCCCTTGGCTTACCATGACAACTCCCCCAGACTGTTCCGCCGTGCACATGCTCATGATCGGGGCCATGCCGATGGTGGTTCCTTGGAAATAAACCCCACTAGGAAATAAAAGAGAGGACTTTCTTTAATCAAATTAGAATGGGGGCATTCTCTCATATTTAAAAATTTTGTTGGACATTCCTACAATAAAATATGCAAAAATAAGAATAGCAACATGAGGATATATTCACATGTGATTTTATCTTTTTTTTCCTGAAAATTTTATTTCTGCAGTTGTATCGTGGTTCCATCATGTTTTTAGAGTTTTGTTTTCAAGACTCAAACAACAACTAGTTATTACACTGTACTTATGAGTTGTATCCTGCCTATTTCCTAATGGGCTGTCGGAAGCTGCTCCATCTAAACAGTATCTGCTGAGGGAAAGGCTGAAAATAGTCACCGAGAACCACTGTTAACTAAAAGAAATGCATTAGATGGTTTACTAGATTTTCACTGTAGCTTAACTGCTTTCCTGGGTAACTTACTACAATTCTGCCAGAAACCCAAACTCCTACAAAACGTCCTGCTAAGATAGCTTGCAAAATTGAAACTGGCAGGAAAATGATCAATCCTGGAGCTAGTGTAGAACAGGTGAGCACCCACAAAGCCTTGGCACCAAGGGAGGAGCCTTCTGCAAGGGGACTTCATGGCTTCAATGCAGTCGTCCTGTCTGGAATCTTAACCTAATCATGGATCTAATGACACGAAGGACCTGTTGAACACAGATGCTGTTAATTCCAACCTCAAGCATGAAAAACAAAACACTGTATTTGTTGAATTTCCTTTAAAGGAGTCAAATGACTTACCAATGCTATCTTGGCCATGTATGTATACAGATACGTTGTTTGAAAAGTTAGATATTTTAGCTACGGTCAATTGAACAGAAGGTGATAAGTGTATAAAAAACCTTCTCCCTCCCTCCCTCCCTCCTTCCCTCCCTTCTTCCTTCCCTCTCTTTCTCTCTCTCCCTCTCCCTCCCTCCTTCCCTCCCTCTCTCCTTCCCTCTCTATCCACCTAGCCCACTAATATTTACAGTAGTAGAAATTTCAGTCCTTATTTACATCTACATAGACTATATGAACAGATACAATTATACATGTATATAAATAATAAGGTTATATAAGATGATAATTTATTTCCAGATGTTCAAGTTGGACAGACTCCATTTGGGAAAAATATCAAAACACTATGACTCAAAATATATAAAATACACTTTTAGTAGTTCAGGACTAATCAATGCATAAAATGTGAGGCAAGCACAAACACTCAAAGGTGGCAGCAGGGGACCCTGTGAAAATGGCCAAAGTAAATCATCAAGGACTGCCAGCAGCCTCAGTTCAGATGTAGGCATTTTCTAAAGTGACAATGGGATAGGACTGGTACTTTTTAAATTTCCACAAATGTTCAATAGCTACATTGGGTTTCTCAAAGTAAAGAGTCGCTGTCCTAGAAGCTTTCATTTCTGTGATATGTCACATGACAACAAAAGAATAGTTGCACAAAGTGTTTAAAGATTTAAATAAAAATTTGTTGCATCTAGAAACATCCACTTCATATTAATTTAGACTGATGTAAGATTGTTCCTTTTTTGGGCCGGGTGCGGTGGTTCACGCCTGTAACCCAACACTTTGGGAGGCAGAGGACGGCAAATCATGGGGTCAGGAGTTCAAGACCAGCCTGGCCAACATGGTGAAACCCCATCTCTACTAAAAATACAAAAAATTAGCTGGGCATGGTGACAGGTGCCTATCTCAGCTACTTGGGAGGCTGAGGCAGGAGAATCGCTTGAACCCGGGAGACAGAAGTTGCAGTGAGCCAAGATCTCACCATTGCACTCCAGCCTGGGTGACAGTGTGAGACTCTGTCTCAAAAAAAATTCTTCCTTTTTTAAAAAGTATGAAGAAGGCATCTGTAACATCCCACCAATTTTTGTGTTATAATAGAACTATGCTTTCCCTTAGTTTATCATCTTCAAGTTCATCACGTGACATTTTCCTCTTTATTCTTGCCTCTCTTAGCAGAGTGGAGACTGCTAAGAGCTGGGAGATTTCCAGTGTTGGCCACCATTGTGTTCGGTCCGTAACAGGTACTCGATGCGTATTGATTTAAAGAGGGAACACAAGGTTAATGTGCTATACTATTGGTGTCCTCTGATCTAGAAAACCAAAGAGTAACAGCCAAAAGAGGAGGAGGACTGAAGTCTTTTTTCCCTCCAGGAATCTGACAATATTCACTTAAAGTATTGTCCTGAGGTCTTGTCAACACACATTTTCCACTAACAATGATGAGCCTTTAGAAACAGGCTACTCAGGACAAATTTACATCACGGCTAAAGTCAGAAAAATTGGTATAGAGGAAAATGTCCAGGTTCTGGAAGAAGGAAATGAGAATTCTGTAGAGGGACAGGTTTCCCAGCGTGTTCAGAGGGACACTTTCCTTTATTTTTATTTTTTGAGATGGAGTCTCACCTTGTCACCCGGCTGGAGTGCAATGGCACAATCTTGGCTCACTGCAACCTCCGACTCCCTGGTTCAAGCGATTTTCCTGCCTCAGCCTCCCAAGTAGCTGGGATTACAGGCACAAGCCACCATACCCAGCTTATTTTTATATTTTTAGTAGAGATGGGGTTTCAACATGTTGGCCAGGATGGTCTCGATCTCCTGACCTCGTGATCTGCCCGCCTCGGTCTCTCAAAGTGCTGGGATTACAGGCATGAGCCAACGCGCCCAGCCCCAGAGGGACACTTTCCTAACAGACCTTCAGTTCCAGGTGAGGGTGACATCTCCCCACTGGTGTGAGCTGAGAAGCCCCCTTGTACATGGCAGTGTGCTCTGCAGAAAGGTGGCAGCTCTGGGGCTGTGCACGTGAAACTAAGGGCTTTGTCGATGGGACTCTTTTTAAGCAGAAGGAGGCGGAACTCCCTACCTGATAAGCTGTGCGTTGTCATGGGATTTGCGAGGTAGAAGATTCATCTTCCTCCAGTCCAGAAACTCATGGAGGCTGCTGAATGGGTCCTGACTTATGGAGCATTTGTCGACGTCATTCCATATTTCCATGCCGACCAACACGACCCGAATGTTCAGTGGTCTGTAAAACTGGGCGAAACAGGCAGAACTGGCATTGGAGTTGGGATCACATTAATGAAAACTCAAAATGAAAATTAGAACAGATTTGCGTTGGTTGAGGTTCACTGACGCAGGTGAGAAAAATATCCCTGTGCTCTTTGGTTTCTATGGCGTTGGAATTTAAGAAATATTTGCAGTGCCTAATGCAAAGTGATGTGTTAACTAGGTTCTCGAAGGCTGACCAATTAGATGCTAAAGTTATTAGCTTTTGCACTGTCTACCCCCATTTGTATGGAAGCTCACATTTCAAATGATTCATCGGTGATTTAAAATGTACATACAGATGTATATTACAGCTAAAGACGGCTAGTTAATATCCACTGCGAGTGAAACAATAAGTGAATTAGGATCTTTCAGACACTTCTGCCAAGGACAATATCTTGTTCATTTTGAGCAAAACATTCTGCCTGTGAGTTACTGAAAATGAATCTCTATTAATTTTTCAGCAAAATCTCAGCCTTGGCCAACACTATCATATTCTGTCGCCTATAATCAACCTAGAGGGTTGTAATTAAACGAAGAAGTCAATATCTTTCAGAATAATAAAGGCATACATAGAGCCCTTCTTCAGGAACATTAATGACTATCCTTCTCCTCCCCATAGCCAGAAGTTAGCTCACCAATACTGTGATGGAAATATGTTAAGTGAAGATCCTCTTTTACGGGCTTGTGAAACAAAGCATCAGGCAAACCACTGAAAGCAAGAATTCTCACCCTCCTGTCGGCCCCCAACACCTTTGGGCATTTCTGACTTCAGCTTACAGCCCATACCTGACTACACCTACAGGCAGGTAGTCCTGGGTCAGAGCGGGGGGGAAAGGCTACTCTTCTAGGGCTAAGGGATGGCTTTGTCTCATAGGAGCTCAGAGGGCCCGGATGAGTGGTCAGCATAGAGGTATGACCTGCCCATTGTCCTCATACGCATCACATAGACAAAAAGATGGCTTTGTGTTCATGGTTGATGGGGCGAGGACATGGTATCACCTGGTTGGCTGTCAAATCTTTCAATGCCCCTGGTATATGAGGCAGCAGACAGGGAGAAAGCCCTCATCTTCTGAAACCCCAGATAGCCAAGGAGAAAAGGGTGGCTAGTGATAACAGCCAAAGCCAAGCACCAGATGAGAGCGGGCCCTATTCTCAGTTGCTAGAAGCATCTGGCCAATGAGTAACAAAACTTACAGAAGTTCTGCATTTGCTAGTTAAGCACCATTCTAACACGGTGAACTAAAGTACTAAATGCTCCTCAAAGCTGAACATCTGATCCTAGATTCTAACCCACATAAGGCAAGCTCATCTTTTCCCTTGCTGGTCCCCACAGTCATCTGGTGAGCACTGGGTTAGCAGAAGACATGACCGGGTACAAACTGCATCACAGAATATACACTGATTGCATTTGTCCAACTTGGTTTCAAACAGATCGCAATTACAGACATGACATTAATGAGTTAACGAGACAGTTACAACACAGCCCAACAGTTTGTTTTCAATCAGGAACTGCACGGCCCACGCTATCTGCTTGTACACTCCCGCCCAGGCTTCCCTGGCAAAAATAAGTTCCTGGCCCGCTCTGGAACTCTGAATGTACGTGTTTGGCTGCTGTCCATCGAGAGATTACATTTTGAGCTCTATTGTAGGCAAAGGTAACGGTGATCAGAAAGCAGCAATGGAGGTGATCCAATGCTGATGCTTACACCGGCTTGCTAGGAGGTGTCCTTGGGGTCAGACACCTTGCGTGGGCTCAGGGTTGTCTTCTGGGAAGGGGACACTAGGTTTGCCTCCCAGGAGCACTGTATGGAGGTCTGCAAAGGCTAATTGTCATCATTTCTCAGTGCTAGGTTTGCTGTTTCCTAATCAAGGGGCTTTTCATGCTAATGATGGGTTTTACATTTCTACCCACTAGGCCTCTCAGCCACATCCTTAGAACTGATTTCTCACTTAGTAGTGATATAACACTCCCCTCTCCAAAATTGGTGCCATTGTTGGACCGTCATATATGCTAAACTCACATCAAGTCATCATACACGATGCCTTTACTGCCTGCTCTGAAAGTTCTTTCCAGGGCTGCTGACGGGTTCCTTTTGATTCTTCCTAATAACAGCCAGCATTGCTAATGTTTAGTGAGCATCACTGTATCCCAGGCACGATGCCATGGTGGTTTCTGTGCTGTGGCTTAATCCTGAAAACAACTCTGTGAGTTAAGAATTATTATTATTTCCATTTTATAGCCAAAGACATGCAGGCTTGGCGAAGCCAGGTGACTTAAGATTTCGACTGCATGGCTGCGGTGGGAACACAGGCCAGCTAACCCTGACACTCATGTCTGAAACCACCAGGTCACACTGCCCTCTTCTGTGAGTGCTAAGACTCCCTTCCATGATGGCCCACTGTGACCCCAGGCCTGGAGAGAAGCTCATGGGCCTCTGCCGTACAAATGGAGCTTGGCAGCTGCCTGCCTGACTTACAAAGCCCAGAACACATGTGGACACAGTCAGAGACCCAACTGAAGCAATTCACCTGTTTACAAAACAGCAACAAATATTTGCTTGCCTCTTGCTGTGGGCTGGGTCTGGCAGTGACAGAGAAAGCAAAGATTAGAATGTCCTTGTCCTTGCCACCCAAATGCTCAGAGGTCACCAGGGACTTAAGGCATGGCATACTAATCTATTAGTTCAGTTAACTCCAATACAGTGAACTGCCAAGCAGTGGTGCCCATAGAAGTCCTGGGATGCTGCACTGGAGGCTTTTGGGAAGGAGCAGTGAGGTGGAATCCCCTGGGGTCCAATGAGGGAGCTTGCATCCTTCAGGCAACTGGTTTGGGACAGGAGGGGAAGAAATCTGTCACATGAGTGAAAATATTCTAAGAAATTAAATACACAGAGGCTGGGCCTGGTAGCTCATGCCTGTAATCCCAGCACTTTGGGAAGCTCAGGTGGGCTGATCACTTGAGGTCAGATCCTTGAGGCCAGCCTCAAATGTGGTAAAACCACATCTCTACTAAAAATACAAAAATTAGCCAGGCATGGTGGTAGGCACCTGTAATTCTAGCTATTCGGGAGGCTGAAGCAGGAGAATTGCTTGAACTTGGGAGGTGGAGGTTACAGTAAGCTGAGATCACACCACTGTGCTCCACCCTTGGGGATACAGTGAGACTCTGTCTCTAAAAAGAAAAAAGAAGAAGAAGAAAGAAAAGAAATTAAATACATAGGAGATGAGTCCTTTCAGAAGCAGGTGACTGAATTTGCAGCTGACACTAACTTCCTAATGAATAAGGAGGACCAATCAGAGGCGAGAGTGAAAGATGCAAACCCCACAATAGCTCCATCGGCAGGTGCACTCCCCAGGCTCCTGCAGCAATGTAATGAGGACCGTGGGAAAACCCAGTGTCTGGCCTAGAAGCATGAGTGCCAGACAAGCCTTCTGTGTTTCACTTACGGGGGATTTCCTGAACGTTCCAAAACTTCACCTTCATCACTAAACCACTCCTCTGTCTTCTAGTCTGAGATGTCCTCCCTTTCCACGCAGCCAGCAGTTGTTAATTTAGAATAGTCCAGGAGAGCCAAGACTTCAGCAAATGAGGGAACTGCCACTGGCACAGTCATTGTTTTCTGGGCTGAGACATGTCCACTGACAGAGTTGAAAAACTGAAATTTAGAGAATTGCATAACAGAGCTGGGAGTCGTCTGTTAATAGACTTGGAAGCAGCAAGTCTCCCAGGGAGCCTGGGTATCTCCTCCAAGGCCTTTGGAGTCTGCTGGGCATGGACAGGGATGCCAGGGCCAGAGGTAGCTGTGTGCTCAGCAAATCGGCTCTCTCCCTGCCAGAAACACAAGAACAGCCAGACTGGCAAACTCCATGGCGTCCGTTAGGACTTTGCCAAGGCACAGTGTTCTTTAATTACCAGTGCAAGTTATTAACAAACCCCCAATTGCTCATTTTTGGTTTTGCAAACTGAAGCAAGATATAACCTGGAATAAATGGGAAGAAATATAAACACAGAGGACCCAAACACATCCCTTTTTAAAATGGGGCTTCAGGAATTTCCAGTTTGGGTTTAATAGAGTTCATCATTTCCTTTTGCTCCCGAGGTCTAAGAAGAACGCATGCTCTCTCCCTGTCAGACAGTCTGAGGACAGCCTGAAGCCTTCCGGGCAACGGTTCAACTCGCTCACCTTGGAGTGGCACCTGTGCTCCCAGCTCAGGCTCCTAAGCCTTCCGCCCTCTAGGCCAGTGTGTCTCAGTCCCACCTCGGCCCCCCAGTCAATCAAATCAGAATCCCTGGCCCGAGGTATGGGAATCAACATTTCAAAAAGTAAACATATAAACAAATAACCAAACTCCCCGCAGGGGTTCTAATGCCCAGCCGAGACCGAGGCCCAGTTCTAACAGCTGTGCTGTCTTTGATGTCTCCTCTAAGACAGACCCTTCAACCCCTGCCAGCACTCGCCTTTCACCAGGATTCTCCTGCACCTGGACTTTGGGATGAAGTTGAATCTGCAAAGAGTAACTACTGAAAACACATCAACAGGCAGGGGTTGCCAGGGAGTTTGACCTGCTTCAACGGTGGACAAGGGCAATATCATCCCAGGATATCAATAGCCATATGGGTTTTTCAGACTTCCAGAAATTTCCATCCAGCCATAGCCTCTCTCTGTGTGGCAAGCCCAGATCTCTGACTGCTCAGCATGCCCTTCAGAACTCCTCTTCCTGCTCCGGCTTTGCTTGGGTCTGAAGTATCCTCTACCTGCCTCTCCACTCCAGTGAAACTGGCAGTCATGGGATCTCCCACTTGCCCTTAGCCTCTGCTTGGTCATCATGAGGTCCTGGGACTCACAGTAGAGTCCAGGTAGAGTAGAGTCAAGGCCAAGAGCCCCTGCTGGGGGTCAGTGAGACTGTGTCTCATCTCTCGTCCTGCAAATGACTAACCTCTGCCCATCTCAGCTTCTTCTGCTTTAAAAATGGAAACAGGCTGGGTGCAGTGTCTCACGCCTGTAATCCCAGCACTTCGGGAGGCTCAGGTGGGTAGACCATGAGATCAGGAGTTCAAGACCAGCCTGGCCAAGATGGTGAAACCCCATCTCTACTAAAAATACAAAAATTAGCTGGGTGTTGTGGTAGGTGCCAGTAATTCCAGCTACTCAGGAGGCTGAGGCAGAGAGTTGCTTGAACTCGGGAGGCAGAGGTTGCAGTGAGCCAAGATCCCACCACTGTACTCCAGCTTGGGTGACAGAGTGAGACTCTATAAAAAAAAAAATAGGAACAATAGCACATACCTGAGAGCATATGCAAAGCACTCAGAGCCTGGCACACAGTAACTGCTAAAAAAACTAAGGAATCGAGAAACACATCCCTTCAAGCATCTGAATCCTTGTCCTTCTCACATCCCCACTTCCCCTGCCCTGGGTCAGGCCTGATCATTTCTATGCAATAGGCTCCTCCCAGCCCTGTTTGTCTTTGGTTATTCCACCCTCCACAGTAACTGCAGGAATATCTTTCTACAATCCTGAGCTTCTCTCCCCTGCTTAAAAACATTCACCTAGCTCTCCATCCACTGCAGAGTAACACCAAAGATGGCTTTGTAGAGCAGCCAGAGCCTTGAGTGCTCTGAATCTTTGCAGCTTCATCTCCTCCTGCCCTAGCTGTGTGTGCATGCATTTGCATACAATATGAGCATGTGTGTACATAAACATACATCATGCATGCAGGTCACACACATGAACACACATAGGAACGCACATGCATGTGCATGCACATGAATCACATACATGTCCACACCACACATACTCCTTCTGCTCTGCTCATGGTGAAACTGAACTTACCTTTTAGGATCCTCTCCCTGCAAAGACTCTCTGACCCCCAGAAGAAGAAAGTGATTCTCTTCTGCATCCCCATAGACCTCCATTCACAGCATGGGCCTACTTCCTAATGCCTTGGACCATGCTGTGTGGGTTGCATGTGTGCTTCCCTACACAGCCTTGACTTTCTCAGGTGGAGGGACCACATCTGATTCATTCTGAATTCTTGATGCAGAGTGCATAAGGCCTTGCAATATAGAGCCGAATTTCTGGAGGGGCCTTGCCTTCATTCTTTGAAAAACTTAGAAAGCACCATTCACATCTAATCAGATTACTTGGAAACAAGGGTATCGTGAGGCATCCTCACAAACCCTTGTGTGTAAAATCTGCTGTTTCAGAGGACCATGGCTGTGAAAGGCTCAGCCATGGCCAGATTCCTTCTCACGCTGTCCCTGCAGACAAGGGACTCAGTATTGCCAAGAGGCTGTGATTGCTTTAGGACAGCAGTCGCCATCTACATTGGACATGAGAATTGCTGGAGACCTTCTGAAAATTCTGAGGTCTAACCTCCTCCCTTCCATACCCCCCTTGAAGGCAGCAATGTTTCTGGAAGCTTCCCCTCAGCTCCAATGTACAGGGCATATGAGAAGCCTATTTTAGGCTGAGAGTTGTCAGCATCCAATAGACAACATCCTCTCCAGGAGGATGCGATAAGGAAGGACAGGTGGTTTAGACAGGGAGCACTGCCATTTTCTTTGCCAGCCCACAGTATGAGTAGCAGTTAGTCAACAAGTGCCCCAGGAGGAGGACCCGGTTTCCAGAGGCTTCTCCAGAGAGGAAATAGTCTTGTGAAAGGTGAGTTTCTGACCTGCTTGTTCCTGGTGAGGGATTTCCCAATAACTGATGGAGCTGAAAGCCAACTTTTGTGTCTCAGGATGGGGGATCCTGTTCTTTATAAATGCAAGCCCACCCTCAGGGTTACATTGGTACAGGGCTGCAATGGTGGAGGCAGATTGAATGGGTCTGTGGGATCTATCACTGGAAGACCTGGGAGAGGCCTGGCTCAGGAGCAATCCAAAGGATCAGATGGAGTCTGCAGGGACTCTGGTGCTAACTGGGGAGTCCGAAATACCCTCAGATTGGTGTTCCTCCTGGCCAGAAGAGAGCCTGGAGGAAGACATGTCCCCAAGGCCACCAGAGTCCAGACAGCTGTGGTTTGGCATCTCCTGAAGCTGCCCTAGGACCCAGCAATTACATATCCAGAAGACAGGAAACTGAATTCCAACCAAAGGCCCAGAGGCCGAACCTCTTCTCCTTGCTAAGTCAGATGAGGTCCCTCAACCTCATTTCCAAACATTTACATTATGGGAATGATTTAACTACTGAAAAAGAACTTACCTTGTCAACGTGATTAGCAATCTCTATTAATCGCTGTTTAACTTTTTCCAGGTCTTTTCCTTGCCTCTGAAACTTAACAATTTTAAACGTCAGCATTAATACCAGCAAGAATATCAATCATGTCTCATCTTCCTGGCTCCTGGAAATGTGAAGTCTTGGGATTTTGTAAACCACTGGGGACCTGCCACAGTTTATGGTGAAATGAGCTTGCATCCTGCTGAATAACTTTCCCGGTTGGAGACTCCCTGAAACTCCCTGAAATTTGCCTAAGCCAAGTGCTCACAAGACAGCAACTTCTGCAATTTTCCAGCCTCATAAATGATGGAGGCAGTGACATGTTTTGGCAAAGAGGAAACAGACAACTAGAAGTCAGTCCAAAACCATTTTTCATATCAACAACTTGATTTTAACTTCCTGAGAAATTGTCTTTATATCTGTTTTTAAAAATTAAAAAGTAAACATAATAGAAGCTCACGGCAACTCGTCAAACAATACAGAGGAGAATGGACAAAAAAAAAAAAAAAAGTCAACGAATTCCCCATTCTCCTCTCTAATCTGACATTCCAGAGAGGGAATAGTTTTCTGAAACATAGTCAAGCCTGTTTCATTCACATGTGTTGAATGAGTCTATGAGAAAATATCACCCAATTCATATATATCAATGAGGTAGTGCATAAATACAGAGAAGACAGTCTTTAGAAAAACTAATTCAAAATTAATTAAAAAACAAATATTGTATCAAGTCATAGCTCAGAAGGGAGGATTTTTCTGTTGTGCCTCTATAGCCTTCATTCATTCATTCATTCATTCATTTTGATTAATGACATGTGGGATGTTTTCTAAATGTCCCATTTTAAGAACTAAACTTTTCCCCAAGATGTTTTATAACACAATCTAAAGCCTTCTGTCATTCCCCCAGTTAATTCTTGTTTGGCGAGCTTAGCTACAGAGAAATTCTGTTCCTGTTTTTTTTTTCCCCCCGTGGGCTTTGCCATTACTTTATATATCAGATAAAATTTTAATATTGTATGCTTTTTAAAATCAGAAAACCACTGTTTCCATTGCTTTTAAGAGCACATAGGAAATGCAGTTCATTAAAGCAAGTAATAACTTGCAAAACAGGTTCTGTTTTCTTTTTTGTCTAACCAACTGTACTGAGCGATATCAAAAAGCTCTTACCTCTCGGTTGTCTGCCACGATCACCAGCTCCACATACTTGGTTGTCTTGAGGGTTTCCCTTTTACTCTGCCAAGAGTAAACATGCACTTAATCTCTCTTAATGCCTCTCCGGGGCTTCCAGAACACTGTCGAGGTCTCTCAATCCAAACACTTGAGGTTGAGAATTTATCCCCACCATCCCCACCAGGCCCCCACACCTCCACTCTATCTAGAAGTTTATCCCAACTCCAACCATCTCTTTGTAAAACCTTCTCAACATGAGTGGCCGGCATCCATTTTCACTTGGAAAACCCTTACAAAGGAGTTTAACCTTTCTGCTGAACCACAGATTACTGGAGCAGAAAAAAGATTATTAAACAAAACGAGCACATAAACAAACAAAACCAAAGCACTCTCTAGAACAGGAGCCAGTCAAAGGTGGTTCATTTCAGACCACATGTAGCACACTTGAAGGTCATTAGAGAAGACGATGGAGTTCAGTGCACCCTGGCCGTTCCCTTTGTCCTCATGGTCCAAGCGTACCTGTTTTGTGACTTGAGAAAAGTGGAGAATACGTTTTGAACAGGAACTGCATAGTCATTTTGAAAATGATCATATAAAAATCTAGCTAGAAGCCATGGAAGACTGGGGTAGCTGGAGACAAGGGAACTGTCAGACCAATGAACAGAGAAGTGAGGAAGGTATGAGGAGAATGAAAAAGAGCAAAAAGAAAGAGAACAGGAAGAAACAGAGTTAAGAAAAAGTAAGACTCTAATGCGCCCCTGGGGAACAGGGATTCCGTAAGAGGGAGACAGTTGAGGGAACATGGAAAGTGGATATGGAGGTGGATGAAAGGAGATGATTCAGGCAGCAGAAGTAGGAGCCCTGTCCCCACAAAGGCGGCTCCTGAAGCAGGTCACATTTTAATCAAACTTCTTCCAAAAGCATTCGCACTCTTCTGTGAATTACTGGGCGAATTTCAAACGCAGTTTTAAGAGAAATAAAGCAATTCGTGGAGGGTGGTCTCAAAAAGCAAACATTAAAAACAAAAAACAAAGCCTTCTGTTTCTGCCATAAAATGCAGTTGGAGGAAGTGGGGGTTGAGTCGGTCTTTGGTCTTGGTGACTGATATTGCTGGTTTATGAGTTAACTGCACACACTGCTTCAACTTTAAAACCTGCATGTTATAATCAGTCTTTCAGACAAAAGCAAAAAAAAAAAAAATCACGAAAGTATGCTTTGAATCAGGTTTCCAGTCACATAATCCTGAGGGAAACATCTTTTATAAAACAAATCCCCATCAGTCCTGGATCTTCCAAACAGATTTTTACAAGAAAAATGTTTGTATTATAACAGTGTTCCTTCTTGCTGCCCAGCTGTGCTGATTCATGAATTTAGGTGTCCCTAAAGAAATCTGGAAACCTTATGGAAAAGGAAAAAGAAAGCACCAGGAAAGGAACAATTTCTCATATTTTTACTATGTTACAACAAGAAACTGTCATGCTTTGTAACTATATGTTGGAGGCATGCTTTATGGTGATAACTATGTGCTACTTACAAAAGAAAAAGCATTCGCCCCCATGGTGCCCAGGGTTGCACACAAAATGAGACACCTTCTGAAAGTGTGAAGATCTTGCTCTTTTTCCTCACTGAGGTGTGAAAGAGGCAGAACTCCCTCTGCTGTCCACAATTCCCTGATTAACCATTAACAAATTCGGCTAATTATGCGGAAGAAAATGTAGGTCTAGAAATGAAAGATGAATCTCTCATTGAAAACGTCATTGAAAGGAATCTGGTTGTTTAGACGTTTACACTTTGCAGTCTGCAGAGTGAAATAAACGACGATGGGATATTTCCAACTGGCTTAGGATCTTCATTTAGAAAATACACAATTCCAGATAATAAAAACAAACACATGAACACAATTTTCCTGTCTCTGCAATTTTCAGACAAGTCTACATTTTCTCATGGATTCAGAGAATTGCAAGCTCAGAGAGAAGCTTAGCCACATAATAAGCAGCACTGCGGGAGTGGCTGTCACCACGCAGAGGTTTATTTTATTAGCTACACACACACACATACACACACACACACACACACATACACAGAGAGAGAGAGAGAGAGAGAGAGAGAGAGAGAGAGAAAGAGAGAGAGAGAGAGAGAGAGAGGCTTACATTATCCCCACGTAATTTCCACCTATCTGGCTGCCTAGTTTTAAAAAAATCACATTTTTAAATTTGTAATATGGAGAGAAACTGGTTGCTTAAGATATGGAACCAACCCAAATGCCCATCAATGACAGACTGGATAAAGAAAATGTAGTATATATACACCATGGAATACTATGCAGCCATAAAAAAGAATGAGATCATGTCCTTTGCAGGGACACGGACAAAGCTGGAGGCCATTATCCTTAGCAAACTAACGCAGAAGCAGAGAACCAAGTGGGAGTTGAACAGTAAGAACACATGGACACAGGGAGGGGAATACTACACACCAGGGCCTGTTGAGGGGTGGAGGGTGAGGGGAGGGAATTTACAGGCTAGGTTATTAGGTGCAGCAAACCACCATGGCACATGTATACCTATGTAACCTGCACATTCTGCATATGTATCCCCTTTTTTTTTTAGAAGAAATTAAAATAATAATTCAAAAAAATTTAAAAAGAAACTGTTTGCTCAATGGAATTTTCATTTTGGGGGTTAATAAACAAAAGCTTTTCCTCAAACAGGAAGATAAGCCTCTGAGACTGGCCCAACAGTCTCCGTTCCCAGGTGGAGGCAGAGGCATTCTTTGAATCTTGCTCAAGAGAGAAACAGTTCCTGGGTCTCTCAAAGTCATCACAGCCAAGTTCCCCAGGAGAGACGTCCCCCAGGCAGCCTGCAGGGAGGACTCTGGTAATGGGAACTTAACTCAAGTGAGAAAAGCAAGTTGAAATTAGGGCTACAATAAATCCTCACGGCAACTCTTTAATTCTTTTTCACATGGGTCCGACCATTTGTATAACATTTATTCACGGTCGCTATCTACCAGGGATGCAGTTTCTGCTAGGCACTGCGCTGGGTGCTGTGGATACAGCGTGGAGAGGAAACCCATATTCCCGAAACCCAGTGTCCTCCGGAAACTCATATTCTGGTGGGGGCTGGGCGAAGGTGAGCCCATGTAGAATGAACAAAAGTAAGAGAGCGTCTATGCAAAGTACAAGCAAGGAAACAAACAGCGTTCTGTAGGAAGGATGAAGCTGGGCAGTGGTAGCTGCAGCGGTGGTCTAAGGTAGCTGAGGCCTGAAGGATGAGAAGCAGGCATGTGTGGAACAATTGCGGGAACAGTGTTTCAGGTAGATGGAATGGCAACAGCAGATGTCCTGAGGCTGGGCAGAGCTTGTGGGTGTTGGGAACAGGCCGTATGGCTGGAGCCTGGCGAATGTGGGAAAACAGTGGATGGGAGGAGGTGGAAGATGGGGACGGGACAGAGGGGCCATGGGAAGGAGGGTGAGTGACAGTCTAATAATCTATGAGTAGGGGGGCCTTGAATGTGAGACTTAAAAAATATTGCAGCTGGACGCGGTGGCTCATGTCTATAATCCCAACACTTTGGGAGGCAGAGGCGGGCGAATCACTTGAGGTCAGGAGTTTGAGACCAGCCTCGTCAACATGGTGAAACCCTGTCTCCACTAAAAATACAAAAATTAGCCGGGTTAGGTAGTACACAACATATATATAGCTCTGGCTACTGGAAGGAGAATGGATTCTGAGGGCATGATATTGGAAGCTGAGAATGCAGCAAGGAGGCTGTGCAGTCATCCAGTGAGAGGTGGCAGTCGTGATGGACATGGGCAGCCACAGGCAAGCCAACTATGCCGTCACCCAAAGCTAGAAAACAACAATCACAATGAGACCAGGGCCAATGTTTCCATCGGCGGCAAGATCAGCAAATGAAATGAATCAAAAGTTTGTTTTCTTTTCCTCTAGGTGAGAAAAAAATCGGTATTAGCTCAAGCCAGGCCCATGCCTTGACTCTAAGGTCACTTTTTGAGTATTTGTAAGTCGAGCCACGATTTCAGTTAGGAAAGGTTGTCTCCACCATCCTCATCCGTGACTGGCCTGGGCACAACACACTGATCATATTCACACGGGATACAGGCTCTGACACCTGGCTGATGTGTAGGCGGGCAGAAGCAAACAAATGGGATAATCTGCTGTGAGAATAGGCTGAATCTGGCAAACTGAATTTTAGCGGGGCCAAGTGTGAAGTATTGAGGTTAAGCCTAAAAAAATGAATGACACAACTGAGATTTATTATTTATTTATCCAGAGCTTTAGTGGATTTGAGACTTACTAGGAATTCACACCTGCAAAACTGGAGCCTCCCCTGCACAAATAGATATTCAAAGCTCAGGGCCAAGGAAGTGGTGCTGCCCTATTCCCCACCACCAAGCTTTTCTTTTTTTTCTTTTCTTTTTTTTTTTTTTTTTTTTTGAGATGGATTTTCACTCTTGTCACCCAGGCTGGAGTGCAATGGTGCGATCTCGGCTTGCCACAGCCTCTGCCTCCCGGGTTCAAGTGACTCTCCTGCCTCAGCCTCCCGAGTAGCTGAAATTACAGGCACCTGCCACCACGCCCAGCTAATTTTTGTATTTTTAGTAGAGACAGGGTTTCACCATGTTGGCCAGGTTGTTCTTGAACTCCTGACCTCAGGTGATCTGCCCACCTCGGCCTCCCAAAGTGCTGGGATTACAGGCGTGATCCATGCACCAGGCCCACACAGCCAAGCTTTAAGAACAACTAAGATATAGTAAGAGAACATGGTAGTCTCTAGAGGAGACATGGAAGCAAGGATGGTTGTCAGAGAAGAATGAAGTGTGCCTGTCATAATTAATGAGTTTTCAAATTCTTCTGGCCAGTTCCTGACACTCAACTCTTGTTAGACTCTACATATAATATGAGTTACATATTACTTTCTACAAATACCCCATCACTACTGTGGTTTGTATTACACAAATACAATAGGCTGTCTAGAAACACAAAAGCAATAGCACCAGTCATTTCAGAGCGGCCACATGTGAGAAAGCACAACAGCACCTCCTCACTCTCCGTCCTGTATGTACACAGCGGCCCAAGCAAATCTTCTTTTCAGATAAGGCAGCAACTTTTCTATTTGACTCATAATTATCCATACTAATGGAGGGGAACAATGGCACAGATAATCCCTAAAGAAAGGACAATTCAAAAATAATTTACATTTGCCTTTGGGATGTCTTATGTGATTTTCTCTAGTAGATTTACCGTTTAGGCTGATGTTAAAGTTGGTTTGCATTCTTGAATGAGTAGCCGATGGAAAGGGAAGGAGTCCTCCGTGGGGGAGCTGAAGAGTTAGGAGGCTTCAGGCTGGACTAAAAGATCCACAGAGAGAAAGAGCTGACGGTGACACTCCCTGTTTCTCTGTGCCCTTGGAGGGGCAACTTGGGTTCTCACTAAAATCTAATGTAGAGCCTTGTAAAAATGACAAACAATAGCTCAGGTTTATATCACAGCCAGTGTGTACCCTGAGCACAGATTTATTCCCAATGCTCTGTGAAGAAAAACGCAAACATCTGCAGGAAAATCAAGAGCCTGCAAACCAGTCTTCGCAATAGTTAACATCTAGCGGGGACAGAAAAATGCAGGGGAAAAGCAAATGCAGTCGCTGCATTGCATAAACAACATGAGTTAGCAGCATTTCCATTGATTTTTCTTTTTTAAAGAGTGAAATAAAGGCAGGGTAAGTGGGGCAGGAAATGTCCCTTTCATATTTACCATAGGTGCTAACCAAAACAATCTCCCATAGAATTCCAATTTGCAAGGATTCCACATATTTGAAATTATTTTTCTCACCATTTTCATTATATACATGCATTTTAAGTCAAAGATGTTTTCCCTTCCATAAAAACAATCACAGCTCTTTCTAGAGAGAAATATTGAGAACCAAGTTGATGGCATTGATGCCTTCCCTTTTCAATTTAAAGGATCATTTGCACTAAAATATGCATTATTAAGAAAGCATGGTTATTCCCATTCTCCCCATTTCTCCACAAGTCCAAATGACTGGATATTACAATCATGCTTCTAGAGAGCTGTAAGCTAAAAGAATTAAAATATGGCTGGCAAGTACAGACCCAGTCCATACTCCTAAATGAAACCACAAACATATTTGAGTGTCATTTAAACTATCAAGTTATAAATCTCATAACGTAGGCAGCATGCATTCAACAAGGTACTCAGAACAACGAGTGTGGAAAACAAAATGCAACTGTTCTACTTGTTTATGACCGGGAGAGCTACAGCTTCATCACATCTTCTCCGAGGTTTGGAATCAAAGGCAAAAGTTTTGAAGAGTAACATAAACATGCTGTGGGACCACCGAGGCTGGTCTTTAAATCCATCACTAAGACAGGTGGCCAGGAGAGGCACAGGCTGAAAAGTCTCCCGAGCTTGTGGTGGGGAGGTTGAGGAGGATAATTTTCAAGCTCTGTTCCTTGGGATTAGGACAGAGTCTTCTGCCACCAAGCAGCAATGTCAAGGTGAGCCACAGTACCAGATGGAAGAGTTCCTTCCCATCTTGCGATGGGGCAGGAACGAAAAAGAGGTTGTGAGCATCTGCCATAGAAACTCTTAGAAACACATTAGCAAACAGAAGATGTGAGGGTCACACAAGCAGAATGCCTGGACTGAAAGAATGAATGTAAAATTAGAGTTAAAAGTCCTGAACTGGTTCAGAGAAGAGCACTTTTAGGGGAACAGACGCGTATTCACAGGTATGAAGGGAATTCTAGGAATGAGAAGGCATTATTTGGGATAACCTCTACTGTTCCCCAGTAGAAACATGATTTAGAATGAACCAAAAATAATATTCATTAAATGTTGAGTGCTAAGCAGCGGTCTACCAAAATTAAGTCAGGAGACAACAATGTTAGGAGGAACCCAGAAGAGACATTCCCGGACAGCCAAATATAAGCACAGGAGGAACAGGAAATCCAGAAATGAAAAATCAGGAAGTTGTTGATGATTTCCTATCTGTTTCTGCTCATTTAAATTCAGGGCATCCAGCCAAGGGTTGGGAACGATTGCCTTTAATCCTTGTTAAACGAGCTCTGCTGTGGCCTCTGTTGCCTGCATCATGCCAGACAGAAAAGGGGCAGGCCGCCCTTTGGGGTGGAGGGTTCATGGGGTTACACAAGCGCAGACTCCCTCAGGCAACCACTCTTTCCATTGCTGCTGCAAAAAGGAAGACCTTTTATGAGCAGATCTGGGAGCTGGTGGCCAGAAAACACAGACTGCTTGGAAGGTCCCAGGGGAGAGCTAGGACAAACATTTGCAGCTTGGACTGTATAGGCAAGCAAGACTCCTGAGCCACACCAGGTTGGGGAAGGCCTAATTCACCTCTGCACAATTGTGTGGGCAAACAGTGAGAATTTTCTGAAAATTATAATGAGAACCCAAACTTGCTAATGAAGAAGTCTCTAGGTGGTCTTTTGCCTCCAGAGGAAGGAGAGCTGCTAGAGAGTGGGTCAGGGTGCCATGCTGTCTTGCTTGCCATGGTGGGGCCAACCCTGGGCTTAGGACCACAGGAGGATCTCTTGGGAGATTCCATGAATGATGATTTTGTCATTCTCTGACCCCAACGATGTGACTTTACCCAGCATGTTTTAATGAGTCTGAGGCTGGCATGTGTAATACGGTGATGGAGATTTGGGGTTATGGCTGTGCTTCACCATATAATGTCTACCACTCCCAGATAAACTAGGCACTTCCATCCCCCAGACACCACATCATCTAGGTGGCAACATTTCTCCAGATGTCCTAGTGTTGGACATCCATAACTTGAGCTCCTAGCTTCCCAGAAACACAAAGTTGTGTATCCTTCTTACCCTTCTTGCCCACGTCTGAGAGGGCGGTAGGAACACGTTATGTACAGTAAGGCTTGATGTGTTGTGATACAATCCACACGAACCCCAGACACTTTCCAGGTTCTCCGCTGGGAAGAGTTTGTATCTGTTGGTTGCATTTTTCATTGGTTCTAAGACATAGGTTTCATTTTCAAACATAATAAGTCCCCTGTTGAAAAAGAAACAAGAAAAAACATGGAATTTTTAAGGACAGCTTGTTTATGGCTAATGCACAGTTCTTAACAAGAGAGAGAATGAAAAGAGAAATAGCAATTTATTTATATTCTCAGAGTTTAATGGGAAAGGATGTCTCTGTGCCATATGTTTTCACGAATTCATTTTGCAAATCTTTTGGAAAGTTAGCCTTGGAATTTTCTTTTGTTTGAAATATTTTATGGTAAAGAATACAGTGCATTTTGCTTTTGTGTGTTTTTATCTTTTTTTTTAATGTTGCAGAAATATATTGCTTGGAAGAAGAAGGAGGAAAAAGATGTTTCAACTGCTTAGAAGATAACTGTGTCTGAATTACCAGACATATTTCAGAAGGGAAATGTTTAATTTTTAAAAAAATTTCAAGGCCAGGCGTGGTGGCTCATGCCTGTACTCCCAGCACTTTGGGAGGCTGAGGCAGGTGGATCACGAGATCAGGAGTTTGAGACCAGCCTGGCCAACATAGTGAAACCCCATTTCTACTAAAAATACAAAAAAAAAAAATTAGCTGGGTGTGGCGGCAGACACCTGTAATGCCACTACTTGGGAGGCTGAGGCAGGAGAATTGCTTGAGTCCAGGAGGCGGAGATTGCAGTGAGCTACAATGGTGCCATTGCACTCCAGCCTGGGAGAGCGTGCAAGACTCAAATAAATAAAATAAAATAAAATAAAATTTCGAGAGCCTCAGGGGTACAGCAGATTCTCGTTACACGGATAAACTGTGCAATGGTGAAGTCTAGTGCACCCATCACCCGAGTAGTATACACTGCTCCCCAGAGATAGTCTTTGATTCCTCCCCCACTTCTTGCCCTCCCCCTTCTGCATCTCCCATGTCCATTATATTACTGTGGATGCCTTTGTATACCCATAGCTTACTTTCCACTTAGAAGCGAGAAAATGCCGGTTTTGGTTTTCAATTCCTGAGTTACTTCACTTAGAATAATGGCCCTAGTTCCAACCAAGTTGCTGCAAAGCCATTAGGAAATCTTTTTATAAAAGGACAATTTCTACCTCAATTATTTATCCTTATCAGCCCTATTCCCTAAATAGTTGATGGAATTATAAGAATGAGTATAAATTTATATTTTTTGTATTTACTTAATGTGTGGGAGATGTGTGAACAAAGGAACCCACTTAAGTACACAACACATCAGCACTGTTCCATCGACGCTGAGGTCTGGGCTCTGGATCCCGTGTTCAGCTCTTTCTGGAATCCAGGAACACCACAGGGACAAGTGCCAGCCCAATGCTGTGAGGGCAGCCTCTGGAGTCTGGCAGTGCTGGGTTTGAGTTCAGGTCTGTTACTTACTAGTTACATGAACTTAACTAAGTTTCTTAGTCTCTATGAGCCCTGGCTTCTTCACCTATGAAATGCGGATAATGGTACCTACTTGTTAGTCAAAACTCTTAGCCCACGGGAAGCCCCAAGTCAGTGCTTGAGGGGTGGTAGCTCTCTTTACCACTAATAAGGGCAGATCCATGAATGACGCATCTGTTAGCATGTTAATCAAAAGACTGACAATTTCAGGCAAGTCCTATATTTTGTCAACCCATCTGCTCATAGGAACACTGGTCACTCATGGCTCCCTGATATAAAAGATAACATTAATAATATAAATACATTTCTGGGAATGACAATAACTAAGAAAGAACCTTTTGAACCAACCTTTAGGTTTGGGAATAAAAGCATAGATTCTTTTTAAAAATGGACAAATTTGCTGAAGACTCTAACCTGCAGAGACAGAAGGTGACATTTAGCTATGGACCATGACACATGTCTGACCTTCTGGAGCTCACAGCTAAGGTCACGCCCCACTCCCTGGAATGAGCAATGCTAGCCTTAGACTGCTAGGTTCCTTCAAATGAGGGGGCCTTGGCTTGCAGGTTGGTTTCATTTCTCTCTTTGCTAAGGTGGGGCAGTGAAGTGCTTTAATTTGAAAGGTGCTCCCTGCTGCTGAGAGAAAGGTTTTCTTTGGAGAAATGACAATCTGGGTAACAGCAAACTGGCAGCTCTGAATTCCCATGTGTCTAGTACCTTATGTTATTTAGCAAGGTGACCATGATCTCTCCACTTTAGAAACACACAAAATCTTCAAATAAAATTCATCTCACTGGAAAGGGACCCTTCTAATCCAGTGACTACTAACCTTTCGTGAGATATGAACCTCCTTAGACCCTCCCTAGAACAAGTCACATACACACCTGTAGGGGCTAAGGGAAAAATTTTCCCCTTTGCCTTCTGAAGGTTCACTAAACGTCAACTGACAAAAGGCAGAAATGTTATAGGAGAAAAGACAGACAATTTTATTTAACATGTATGGCACAGGTGACTTACAGGAGAATGATTACTCAGTGGGGATACAGAGGGTTATATACACCTCTTCCTAGGAGAAAGGGAGATAGAGATGCATGGATAATTTTAGGGGATGAGCAAATGATTTTTAGGGGAATTAATTGGGCTTGAAGAACACACAATGACCTGGGACCAAGTCCTTTGGGCCCACAGAGCAGACTAAGGTTTATGACAAAAGTCTGTCTGGATGTGTCGACAGGCTTCACTCCTTCTTCCTGTGACGTTAGTTAATGAAAACTCACAGAGGGACTGAGGTGAATGATTTCTTTTTTGGAGGGTCTATAGTTTAGGCAGATAAGGGAACTTCAGAGAACAACTTCATCCTGTGCTTTGGGAGAGACAGATGGGGTAAAGGTGGGTGCCAGGGGCCAGAGAGACCTTGAGGGTTTTTCTTTAGCTCAGCATGAAGAGAGCCCCAACATACACAACCACAACATTTTGCTAATTAATACGGACTAATTAATTCCTTATTATTTAACTGGCTTACTCTACCAATCCTGTTTTATAAGTTGTTGGGGGCAATGTGAGAAACAGATATACCACACTCAGGATGCTTGTATCCTAATTGATAAGGCAGCATCAAGATACCTGTGACAATTGGAAATCGTGTGAGAGCTAAGATACACATTCGAACTGTAACAGCTAATGCTTCAGAGAAGAGAGAGTCCAATGCAGTTGGGACTAACTAAAACATTTTTTAATATTTTCAAATCCCAAATTTGTAAAAGTTGTTAGGTAGTCACAAAAATGTTCTCATGTCTCTTTTAAGTCATCCAAAGGCCAAGCTGATGAAAAGTCATGATATGAACTATCGTCTCCTTGACGCTTGTGTCCATGTGTATCACCAAATAGATCATTCAGGGATTACTTTGATTATCAACTCTGTGGGGTGGCTTGTGTTTTCTCTTTCTCTGAAATGTTCTTTATGAAATAAAATGTAGATTTCTAACTTTGGAATATGTAGAAGAGGGTTTTTGTTTATTAAGGTTGGTTTTTAAAAGCCTAAATTAAGGATGTGAACTTTAAAAATAGGCAAGGGGAGGTGGGGGACGGTGGCTCATGCCTGCAATCCCAGCACTTTGGGAGGCTGAGGTGGGTGGATCACCTGAGGTCAGGAGTTCGAGACCAGCCTGGCCAACATGATGAAACCCCATCTCTACTAAAAATACAAAAAGTAGCCTGGAGTGATGGTGTGCACATGCAGTCCCAGCTACTCGGGAAGCTGAGGTGGGAGAATTGCTTGAACCTGGGAGGCGGAGGGTCCAGTGAGCCAAGATTATGCCACTGCACTCCAGCCTGGGTGACAGGGTAAGAGAGATTCCCTGGGTGACAGGGTGAGAGAGACTCCCTGTTAAAAAGAAAAAAAAAATGTCAGGGGAAAATGGAAATGAACACCATCGATTTTGCCCTAAAAAGAAAATGGCAGTAACATTTCATTTTGTATTACAACATTTTCAATTTTACATTGGATCTAAATAAGCTGAACTTTTACTGTAAAATACGTCACCATGTTCTAATCATGAGAAGTGAATTACTGAAAAAGTTTTTCTACTTAGTGGAAAAATTCTAGCAATTGTTACTTAGATGTAAAACTATTCTCTTATCTTTTTTTATCTTTTAAGTCATCCAAAGGCCAGATGTTGAGAAACCAGGGTGAAGACCTTCCCTTTTCTGCAAACAATTGGCAGCCTATAATAAGCTTAATTAAATAATTGCTTTGGACTGTCTTGGGTATAATTAATCACTTAGCTCTGAAGATTGTTGGAAACAACAGTGGACACAAAATTCAAGCATTCAGGGTTTGCAAGATACAACATTCTGATGTTCTCACAGCCCTATTGGCCCTGAGTTAGATAAGTGAATGTAATTTAAGTTGAATGTCATAGATACTTAGTTGCAAACTTGAAATTGGTTAATCTCAGAGCATGGAATTTAAATCCAGTGGACTTTGCATGTGGGGTTCTTTCTCCCTTGGTAGCCTAGGGAGAAAAGGTGAGAAGAAAGTCTCCAATGTTGGGGAAAGATGAAGACTGTAGGCTCCTTCTCTGGAAGGACAAGAGGTCAGCCAGCCATCACCACAGACTCAGGCCAAGTTCTGGGGCAGAGAGAAAGGGGTTCTCAGGGTGGTCAGGGCCACCCCTGTGGCACTCTTCTAGGGTCCAGGTTCTGGGCTGTGCTCCATACGTTGATCCCTCTGCTGACCATGGCTGCAGCTCTCACCATGACCCCACTGTCCAAGGTGCACAGGTGGCAGAGCTGGGGACCCAGTCAGGACCTGTGTGTCCCAGGCTTGGTCCTCTTAACCGCACACTAGCCTGCTTCCCTTTGTGCAGTTTTGAGAGGGATGAGAGGCCGGGAACCAGCAGGAACATGAAAAAAGAGGCTGGGGGTGGTGACTCACACTTGTAATCCAAGCACTTTGGAGGCCAAGGCAGGCGGATCGCCTGAGGTCGGGAGTTCAAGACCAGCCTGACCAACATGGTGAAACCCCATCTTAAAAAAAAAAAGAAAAAGAAAAGAATAAAAAACAAAAAAAGAAAGAAAAAAGCAGAATTAGAAAAGAAAAGGAATAGAATTAGAAAGAGAAAATGGAGCCGCTGCTTTAA